TATAGATTTACTATAGAGATTTTTTAAATATAGATTTAATTAAATCTAATATCTATTTATACTCTATTAATTATATTATATAATAAAACTAATTAATATAATTTTAGATACTAAAAATAAGATTTCTAAACTAAAGGTTTTAAAGGAATAAGCTTTCTATTACTAATTTATAAATATAGTAAAACTAATTAATAAGATATCTATAATTAATAAGTTTTTACTATTAGTTATTTAGCTAAAATTAAAATTATATAAAGTTAAAAAGATTATTATAAGAAAATAAGTTAAAGATAAGTATATAGATCTCTTTATAAGACTTAGATTATATAGATTTACTAATTAGAAAAACCTTAGTAAATAAATTAATAAGATCTATAAAAAGAAATATTATATTCTCTCTAAGATAAATAAAGATAAACTTAGTATATAGGGATATAACTATAGCTAAGATAATATAATAGATATAGTTAAAAAGGTATTAGATAAGGATATTAAAATCTATATATACTATATTATCTAGAGGGATATAAAAATACTTAACTAGATATTATAATCCCTATATAAGCTTAGGAATTAGTTATATATAATTATACTAGATCTATCTAAGAACTTAGAGCTATTTAGATTCCTAATAAAGATTAGTTAGAGAATTAAGAGTAAAGTAAATATATAGTTTAAATATATTTATAGGCTTAAGGGTATAATTAACTAAATAGGAAAACCTATTATAGATATAGATATTAAGACTATAGTAAAAGAAGTATTTATTATAAACTATATTATTATAAATAAGGAATAGAAGAGTATCTCTACTAATATAGTAACTATTATCTCTAAAAAGATATTAGTTCGGAATAAGAAGGTATAATATATAGAGATTATAAAACTCTTATAGGAAATTTTATAGCTTAAGTTTAATATTAAATAACTAACTAGAGAAAATATATAATTTAATAAATAAGTAAAATATAAAGTAGAATTCTAAACTACTACTAAGGCTAATATTAACTAACTAACTAAAGAAAATAAATAACTTAATAACTAGATAAAATATAAAGTAGAACTTTAAACTACTAAGGATATTATAAATATATCTAATAAAGGTAGAAAGAGATTAAGATCCAGTATAATATAGAAACTATAGACCTATTAGATTATATAATTATTATTTACTTAATAGAAATATAAAGATATATAACTACTATTTACCTTAGTAAAACTATATAGAACCTATTCTCTAAAAATAATTAATATATCTACTATATAATTATTATTTACTTAATAGAAGTATAAAGATATATAACTACTATTTAGTTAGAGGGATTATATATTAATTACCTTAATAAGTATAAGATAAAGGAATAATAGGATTAGAGAATATAACTATTATAGAGGTTTAGTTAGGGGTAATATAATAAGAGAATATTTAAGTAAAATAGGATTTTATTTATTATATAGGCTTTATTTATTTAGAATAAATAAAATTTTTAAAGGGGGTAGTTATTATATAACTAGATAGGTTAGATCAGAAGGTCTGATATTATCTAACTAGATCTAATATTATCTAACTAATTATATAACTATAGGTCTAATAAGTTAGAAGTAATAGATCTAACCTAGCTAGAAAGAAGTAAGCCTTTTATATCTAACTTTATATAACCTATATAATATCTAATAGATCTCTATTAGATCTTTATTTATATTCTCTATAGGAACCTTAAAAAGCTCTATCTACTTTTTCTCCCTTATAGATAATATCTTTATATTAATTAATAATAAGTCTATATTATAATTACCTAGTATATTTATAGTAATTTAGTTAATCTCTTTATAGTAATATTATATTTTTACCTTAAAGTTTATAGTAGTAAGCTATAGCTCTTATTTATTAATAGTACTAATAGTAATATTATTTAATATAATTATAAGTAGATTATTATTTAAATACTAGCTAATAATATATCTTATACTATTATACTTAGAATAATTAGATTCTAAATAGTTAGACTATATATAGTTTTCTATATTATATTTATAATAACCTAAGAATAAAGAGTTTTTTATATTCCTTATATTTCTAAAGATCTTTTATTAATAGATTAAAGTAGATTTATTATTAGTTTAATTATTTATTACTAAGTTTAATTAACTAGAGTAGTTACTTTTTATTTTATCTATTAGTAGAAAAGAATTATAATTTATTCTAAGTATAACTTTAGCTATTACTTTCTTACTATAAAAATTCTTCTACTTTATAAAAAGATTACTACTAATAATTTATTATTTTAAAGGTTTTATTAGCTTTAAAACTATATAGATAATTTAGTTTAGATTTAAATCTTAGTTAATAAGCTTAGCTTTAGTTATATTCTATTTAGTATAAAATTTCTTAAAAAACTATTCTAATTTTTATATTAAGCTAGCTAGCTTTAATTTAATAATTAGAATATAAATAATTAGATTTTCTATTATTTCTTTAAAGAATATATAGAATTCTTCTAATATATAGTAAGAAATACTATCTTTATTTATAATACTTACTTATATAAGTTTATATTATAGTTTATCTCTAAAAAAGTAATTAGTTAGTAGTATTTTTAAATATTCTATAGGGAATTATAATAAGTTCTTTTTAATAAAAGTATTAATATCTAATTTATATATCTAGAAATTAGCTTAATTCTTATCTCTATAGAGATAAAAGTCTATTATCTAGTTTATAATAAGGATTTATATAAAAACTATTATTAGATTATTAGGAGGTTATTATTATATTACTAGTTATAAGACTTTAGTTAGTATTAACTTATAAAGTATACTTTTAGAGGTTAGTTTATAAACCTAGGGTTAATATATATAATTTTCCTTTTTATATTAAAATTCCTCTTCTATTTTTTATATTTTCTATTTCTCTCTTATAATAACTAGTTTTATTTCTTTCTACTTATTATAAGCTTATAGTTTAATTAGAATATAGATCTAATTTTTATTTTCTTTATTATTAGAGAAATCTAAACCTTAGAGTAATATTTAAATAGTTTAAAGATCTAGGATTATAGATCTATCTAGAGTTTAAAAAGAAGTTAATATATTTATTTAAAAAAACCTTACTATAAGATTACTTATTTCTATCTATAGCTCTTTATTATTATATTCTTATAAATCTTATTAAGTAATAGCTATTTTACTTATTAATAGTTCTTATACCCTAAGGGGTAGAAGAACTAACTTATTAGATAAATAATAATATATATAGGAAGTAAAGATAAATAGATACTAACTAACTATAAGCTTATAATTAACTAATAATATAATAGCTAATATCTGCCTTATAGATAAATTAGCTCTTAACCCTTCTAAATCCCTTGAGATTATAATATTATTTTATTATATATATAGTCTTATATATTAGGCCTACTTATCCGCATACTCTTATTAGCTAATCCATTTCTCCCCTGACAGTATACAGCCCATTTACTTGCTGGCATCTGATAACAGTCTAAGTACTGATCGATTGCTAAGCAGCGCTGTGATTTGGAAATCGAATCTCGGCCACCAGTTTGAAGTTTCTCGCCACACAGGAGACATTCGCCGTGGACATGAAGCGTTGCTTTGGTTCGTTTGGAATGGTTCATCGCGTGCCGCTGATGACAATCGCAGGAACATACAGAGGGCTAGCCACACACGTGGGAAGAGAACTACAATGCCGTCATCGCGACCAGAAGCGTGGGATCAATTGAGTTCAAAATCAAATAAAAAATAGGGGATTCCTGCGCATTGTGCCTTGTATGAGCCAGACAGGTAACACGCCGCATTTTCAAAGACAATCTGGCCATACAGGATTTGCAGTCAGCCGGCTTAGAATCCACAGCCCATTCATCTCAATTTCCTTGCTTTCTTTCCTTTCTTTTCCTCGTTTTCACGGGACCTTATTAGGCACTACTCATCTGCCCCGTGGAAAAAGCAAAGTGTCTGAGGCGAATCTGATCCAGTTTGAGAGCAGCCATTCGTGGAGCCATTTGACAGGGATGTAGGGAAATGGCTCGGCCTTCCGCGCAGCCTGCTTTCTAAAATCCGTTCATGATCTCAAACCTGTGACATGAACCATGTTTTAGGAGGTGTTGAGTTATCATGGCATGGCGTGAGAGCGCTTGCATGGCTCTCTAAACCCGTATCGAGCTCCCCAATACACGTGCCCATGATTGTGTCGCACTTTCGAGGGAATGCCCAAGGCGGCTTGTCCCACAGCTAAAGCACGGCTGATGAGCTGTTGGCCAATATCTCGTGGGATGGATGTATAATAACGATTACCTGCAGCAGGCTGCCGTACGCTCGCGACATATTCCGGCTCATTGGGCAACGTGTTATGCAGCAGAAGCAATGCAAGACAATCATGCCTCCAGCCAGTTGACGACATTCGCATAAACTTCTCCACCACCCGGGTCCTTTGCATGATTCCACTGCAGCGTCCAGCGTCTCCTTCGCGGCGGTAACCTGTGGAGTACACGTCGACCCTGGGAAATGGGATTTGTTGTACAATTGACTCTTCCGGGCACCTCCGGCGCGTAAGCGAGATCTGGTGCCCAGTCAGGATCCGAGGTGTCTGCTTGGGTAAATGCAGATAATGGACTAGCAATGCCCCGGATCTTTCTAGAGCATACACGTTGGCTGCGCTTCTTTTTTTATATACCCGCAGGGAGCCATCTCGTCGAGGGCCCGGCCTTGCGTATCCAAGCTCTAGTTGTCAAGCAAGGTCTCGCCGACGACTACTCACGGGGTGGTAGCAACCATTTTCCCCATGGAAGCCTTTTCATTTTAATCCTTTTTCTTGTTTTTTTTTCGCTTTCCCTTTGAGTAGGTCATTTATTTCATTATTTTCAGCAAGCAAGCGTTCTATAGCGGGTGGTTGAGAAAAGCCTTTCGACATTCATCACCATGGCTTCCAAACAATCCCCAACCTTCCGATTCCAAGCATGGCACATCAGCAAAGATTTCGACGTGGAGAGCTTGGAGGAAAACAGGCAGATGGCTTCTTTCGTTGAGAATCATGTTTCCCGCCAATTGAAGGGCCTCATCAGCATCGGTCCAGTGGTTCCGACACGAGCCTATCCTACTCTGGCTGTAGCTCGTTCGGTAAGTCTTGGTTTATGATACTTCGTCAACAGTTAGTAACTAACAAAACGCACAATAAGATCCGCATCAGGCTCAAGCGCCCGACCATGGACTGGGAGGGGAACATGAGACAGCTGTCCAAGGTCGAGCTGCCAGCAATCATCAAGCGATACTTCAAAGTGAAGCTCAACAAGACTCTCGACTTCTACAACGCCTTTGCAGAGGAGCTTGCCCCTGACCAGATACCGGAGTACGGCAAAGTGTTGGTATCTGCCGACCTGCAGCGGAAAGTTCGCGATGTACTGTCAAGAGTTAGAGAAGAGGCATGGGGGGATCTTGCCGTGGGAATGTAGGTTTCCTCTTTCTTCTCCGCCCCTTTCACCTTGGTGAATACTCGCTTGATGCTTGTAGAGTCTATACTGACATCTGGCAACAGACAAGACGGAAAGTTCAACGCGGCCAGGTTCATTTCAGAGAGAAGCAAAGGTATGGATTGCATCACCTTGATAATTGCTAGTATCTCCTAACACACTTGCAGCGCCACGAAAGAGACTTAGAGGGGACTATTATAGCCCTAGATCATTGACGCCATCGACAGCGAGTATCCGTTCAGAGTCACCCGCCGACAGTATTTTTGGTATCAAGCCAAACGCAAAGCCACTAAGAATCTCGCCGAGCTTCATCGCCGCCGATCCTCCTCTGTAAGCTCATCATCTTCTGTTTGCTCCTTGTCTCCCGTCCAACTGGAGAAGTCCAAGTCTACTGTGTCGGCAATGTGCGGCACATCTACATTCGACGATGAGAGCGATGCAGCCGTCTCCATGTCGTGCGAGACACCCACCACAAGCAATGATGGCAAGTCTACATTCTCCTTCGTGTATGATACACCCTCCAACAAGAGCCAGGGACAACCCAGCTCCAAGGTTTCTGTTGCATGTGGTACCACCAGGACGAAGAACCGAGTTCGGCGGACCAGCTCTGTCTCCTTCGTTTCCTCGCCCTTGGCGACCGAGAAAAACATCGAAACGGAAGAGACGGTTTCCTTGACGTTCGACAGCTCGACGAACCAGACACGGGTTCACCGCAGTAGTTCGAGCATATCCTTTGTGCCCTCACCGGTGACAGTCGAGGAAGAGATCGAACCAGAGGATGCCCTGCAGTTAGTACCACACGCTCCCCTGACAAGGAAGCTCACCAGGAAGACATCCACGGTCTCCATTGTTCACGAGTCGATCACATCTCAGGAGGCCCAAGCCCAGCCCACAATCACATTCGAAGAGGAAGAAGAGACCCTCCTGGATGTTGATCAGGAAAATCACTCCCCACCCGAGTTTATAGATGAGTCTCCCCTGGATAAGTCCGAGGATGTCTCTCCAATCTTGAGGTTTGTGGATGAACTACTTTCGGAGAGCGAGCCAGAATTTGAACCCCCAACCCCTGCCACTCCAGAGCCTGCCAAGGAGACAAAGAAGATAGATGACGGGGAGAGTGATCCTTTCACTACAATAGTTCCCGGGAAAGTAGTTGATGCTGAGAAGGAGCACATCGTGGAACAGATTGTGGAAGTAGATACGCCAATCTCTATCCCTCCCCAGACCCCCATAGAGACGGAGTCAGAGTCTGGCAATCGTCTACAGGGGAAATCGGACGTGGGAAACACTGAGAAATCTGTCCCTGAGACCGTTTGGGACGACGAAGAGGGAGAGGTTACGCTGGTGGAAGACCCAGAACTCATAGCTTCTACTCCTGTCAAGGCTGTTCCACCCGAAAAGGTCAAGCCAAGGCGATCAGTCACATTCGACTTGGAGCCCAACGTGATCGAAGACTCTGCCATAATCGATGAGGCCAATGAGGACGAGGAACCTAAGATTATCGAAGAGCCTAAACTCAAGCCAGCTCCTTCTTTTGCTTGCGAACCTGTCTTGGAACCGAGCGAGGAAGAGCCAGAGTCCTTGGTATATGAGATTCCCCAAAGTTCTGTCGAGGAAGAAATAATTGAGACTATCCTGCCTCCAGAGGTGGAAGAGGAAACACCTGATCTGCCAGAGGTGTTCGCTGCCGGCTCTTGCCTCGCGTACATCATGCTTCCGCAAACGAATCTCGCCATAATTTTCTTCCAGCGTCCTGACGATATGATTCAGTTCGGTCTGCTGTCAAAATCAGACATTGGTCGTCACGACGTGAGCCTCTGCATTGGCTCGCCCATCACTAGGGCTGCTCCCAACTCCCCACTCCAAGCCTTGAAAAAGGATGGTACCATCGCGCTCTACTTTCAGAGGCCCATCGACTTCCCCCACCAACGTCCGATCATTGCGGAGTGCAAGATGGTTCAAGATGGCGACATGATCACTTGGGAAGTCAGGAACATTGACCTCAAGATGTCGGCTACACTACAGCCCAGATCGGATATCGGATACAAGAGGGTGCTCTTCCTCGAATCCGAATCCCGGCCGGGAGAGGTCGTCGCCGCCTCTTGCTCTCAAGACAACAAATGGCGAGTTGCACACACACCCATCACCATGCCGATCTCCACGGGAAGCTTCTCGTTCACTACAGCTGGAATTGCAGGCGTTGGCGGAAATGTGAGTGACTTCTTCCGTATCCGGTCTCTGAATGAGAAGGAGGTAGTTCAGTGTGAGATTGAGGGCCTCCGGAGCTGGCCTGGTTTGGGAGACCAGGAGATCAGCGAGGCCAAGATTCAAATTGTCCGGAAGCCTCTCAACTGGCATGGCAAGACGCCATGCACATTCCCTCTCTCTTGTGCATTGATTGAGGGCAACAAGGCTGCTCTTATCGGCGTCCTCTGCAGGACAGACGATAATGGACTTCAGCTGTACCGTGGACATCCGTGGTGGGACGAGTTCAAGAAGCCCGAGCTAATCTGCAAGGTCAAGAACGGATCCAACTTCCTCTATATCAAGGATTGGGGTGACATTCTGTATCTCACACCAGATGGTGACATGAGTCGCGCACATGTGACTCTGCACAGGAACAACAGCGTCACGGTCAACATCCATTCTGCTCTCAAGATTAGCGACGACATGTCTATGACGCTAGGCGAAGACTTCTTCGCGTGATTAGTTTTGCTCTTTTCTGATTTCTAGTTTGTTTTCTTACACTCGTTTCGAGTAACAGACAAACTTGTCTTTCGTCGCTGGATAGCAGACTTGTTAGTTCAAGGATGGTCTTTTTACTTCTTTCCCTTCGCTAGGATACCTATCTGTTTTGACTTGTGGTCTATTTATTGTCCTATCTTGATTTCCTTGAAAAGCCAGCCTGTTCGTATTCACTGTGGAATTTGCCGAGATTGCTGTTGGATCTTGTTGGATTTGTTGCTTGGACTTGCTAGCAAACGAGCGCAGCGTCGTTATTTAATCGTGTATTTCTTGCACGGAATTGTTTTCGCTTTGTGTTGTTTAGAACAAGATTGACTCACAACACTAAAGATAAATATACTTTATAAACCCCCCAACATGAGTTCCCTGAAACTGTCAACATAAGTACCTCACTTTGGAAATGTCAAGTAATATCAACCGAGGTGATGGCCTTGACGTTGAAGCATTGGAAGTGGATCACCAACATGACATGCATGCGTAATGTCGTGATCTGCACCTGCAGCCATCAGTGCATCACATCACGCCGTGGAGGCTATTATGGCGCAATCGCAGATGTCAAACGTTGACACAAACAGCTATGTTTTACGGTGCAAGATTTATCCCATCGGTTCCGCTCCCCCGAATCTGATCAGTATAACTGGCGTTCTTGATTTCTTAAGCACATCTCAGGCACATCACAACACACAAAGCTCTCACTGGCTTCCTGTTTCAGTCTGCCGACAGCACCAAAATGGCTGACTCCAATCAGACACCCAGCAGTGCAGCTGCCAAGAAAAAGTTGATCATCAATGCATTTGTAGAGTCGTGCAGTGGTCATCAGTCTCCGGGGCTTTGGAGACACCCCCGGGACCAATCGATCAACTTCAATAACATTTCTCACTGGGTTGAGCTGGCAAAGAAGCTGGAGAAGGGGAAGTTCCATGGTATTTTCATCGCCGATGTTCTAGTATGTCCCCTTCAAATTGTTATATCTAAGTTCATCATTGTGGCTATCAACATCTGACAGCCCGCTAACACTCTTCACTAGGGTGCTTATGACGTTTATAAGGGTCCTCGCAATCCCGACCCGGCTGTGATTTCGGGAGCCCAATGGCCGGTCAATGAGCCGTTGGTGACTGTGCCCGCCATGGCGGCCGCTACGAAGAGTATTGGGTTTGGCGTCACTGTTGCCACAACGTACGAGCAGCCATATCATCTCGCTCGCCGGCTCAGTACCGTGGATCACCTCAGCGGCGGCAGGCTGGGCTGGAACATTGTCACTGGGTATCTTGATTCGGCGGCAAGGAACCTTGGTCATACCGAACAGCCGGCCCACGATGAGCGTTACAACATCGCTGAGGAATATGTTGACGTTACATACAAGCTCTGGTAAGCTCTTCCCCTGTGATTCTCCTCAATCGGTCTATTTGCTGATAGGGTCCAATTCAAGGCAATCTTCTTGGCGTGATGATGCTGTCAAACATGACAGAGAAAAGGGCATCTACACTGATCCAGCCCTGGTCCGCACCATTGACCACGTCGGGAAGTACTACACTGTCCCAGGACCGCATATTTGCCAGCCATCACCACAACGAACTCCGGTCATCCTACAAGCCGGCACTTCCAAGTCCGGCAAGAGATTTTCCGCAAAACACGCCGAGGCGGTCTTCGTCGCTGGACATAGCCCTGCCGTCGTGGCCAAGAACATCGCAGAAATCCGCGAGACCGCCGAGAAGGAGTTCCACCGCGATCCAAAGTCCATAAAATTTCTGGCGATGCTTTGTCCGATCATCGGCAAGACTCAAGAAGAGGCTGAGGCCAAGTACGCGGAGTATATCAGCTACGGTTCCGAAGATGGGGCTCTTGCGCTCTTTGGCGGCTGGACTGGTATTGATCTAAGCAAGTATGGCGATGATGAGGAGCTTCGCCATGTTGAGTCCAATGCCATCCGATCAGCCGTTGAGTCGTGGTCCAAGTCCCTCCCTGGTGTTCCCAAATGGACTAAACACACTGTTGCCAACCATATCAAAGTGGGTGGTCTGGGTGCCACAGTGGTTGGAACACCTGAGAAGGTGGCTGACGAGCTTGAGAGATGGGTGTCTGAGGCTGATGTCGATGGGTTTAATCTGGCCTACGCATTGTTCCCGGATACTTTCGACGACGTGATTGAGCATCTCCTGCCCGAACTAAACAGGCGAGGCCTCTTCTGGGATGACTATGCGGTCGAGGGTGGGACATATAGAGAGAACTTGTATGGACAGAAAGGCCTCTCAAGGCCACCAGCCGATCATCCCGCTGCTCAGTATCATTGGAAAGCTGAGTGAACGGTGCTCAGTGGTCTCAACAGGCAGACCAGTTTAGCTGATACTTAAGATGTCAATCAACAGGCTTGCCTTTGCTTTTGATGTCGTGCTGTGATACAAAAGCCCATCACTATGCTGCCTAAAGATAGGTGACTTTCCTATATGGAACCGGGATGCTGCCAAATACACCAATAGAAATTTTGCTTCATTAAACTTAGAACCACACTCACCATTAGAGACAATTTAAAAATACTAGGCATCTAGATTGGCTATCCAAGGCCAATTTCAGTTTATTCTTGGGGTACACATATATAGTTTCTCCATCAAAGCGCTAAACCTGGACGAAGCGGCGTTTAGCATCAAACGAATGTAGAAACCTGTCATCTGTCTCAGCCTGCTCTTCCTCTTCCGTTTCTGTGTTCTCCTCCGTATCTGATTCTAATCGTCCACTCATTTCCCATTTCCGCTTCGTCAATACCCTTGGTTCCGGAGTCATGGGTAATGCCCTGGTTTCATAGACTACGGGATTTTCAAGTTTATTGGCGGTAAGCTCATGTTGGTTTTCCTCGTAAACTTCGTCTTCGGAGACTTGGGAGACGTCGGAAAGAGGCTCTTCCTCTGATACAAATTGCATTGAGTTGAGGTTAGTCTCGATTTCAAGTCGAGGGTATACCCAATTCACACCCGCTTCGTTACCAGCTAAGACGTGTATGAACCACAAAGCCAGGTTCATGGTCCAGGTGTCGCATGCATCGGGCTCTTTCTCGAAGTTAGTGTCCCAAGGGATAGAAACATACTCCAGAAGGCCATTTTTCGCTAATTCGGCTCTCACTGGATCAGAGCTTTGCGAAACTTATAATCATCAGCTATGTCATGCGTGTACTGATCTTCAGATCAGCCCTGGATTCGAGAACTCACTGGAGCTTTCCGCGATAGGCCTGACTCGGAAGATGAATGCCTCTTCGCAGGTGAGGATGCATCCGTAACGACACATATTCTGAACGCAATAGGTGAATGTCTGTATGACTGGCAGCCCGGCAGGATTCTTGCGACTCATTTCCTTGTTCCATTTCCCAGATTCGTTGACCAGTCCCCTTTCATGGATCCATCTGCTTTTCCATTTGGTTGCCACTTTGTATTCCTTGACGAATTTCTCCTTCTTTGCATCTTTTTCCGATGTTGGGTTGCTCGAAACGGATCCAGAGTCGGGCTTGAAATTTGCATACGAGTGTTTACGCCGCGGCGCAGGCTTTGGGAGACACTTTCGGCCTGGCTGTTCTCGCTGCTTCTCTGGCGGCTCCGGTGATTCGTACTCGCAATCAGCGTCGTCAGGAGGCTCCCCCTTATCCCAAAGTACCGGGTGGAATCGGCCACATATGGGATCAATCGCCGACATGACAACTTCCTGGTTCCATTTCTCAATCAATTGCCGAACTTTGGGCTCGTCACTCTCGAGCCGGATATTGTCCCTATTACGAATGTAGGGAGGGTGGAGCTGTCTTGCCTTCAGAGCCTCTTTTAGTAGTTCCCCCCCAAAGACCTTCCCCAGCACATCAAAGTCTTGAAATTCTTCCCATTCTTTAACTTGCGTGGGAAAATGGTAGTGCGGGTTTCTGGTGTTGGTCTTGCTTTTCGGCCCAGTATGATGAACCGTTGGGTTGCGACAAGTCAACAATTCCAATATCGAATCAACTGGCTCCGTAATGTTGCTCATGGTTAGGGTATGAGACAGAAAGTGGGAAATTATATTGTACCAAAGCAGCAACAGCCAATAGCAGGGTGACACAAGTGGTGATATGCCTGGCGAATCAGAGTTGCTCAGAGTGCGAATGCATTGATGGGAATATTTCTCGCTGGTCGGTGGGCGATTTACCCGAAATATATTGGCGGGAACTGCGGCAAACAAGGCTCTGCGATTCGATTACAACCTGATAAAGGAGCTGGTTGCCTCCTGCAGCTTGGGTTGCATATGCATGTTGGTGACTCTGATGCACCGCAGTGGCGCACCTGTTGGCTCGTGACTCGACTCATCACACCCTCCCGTCGGCCCAATCTGCGGCGGCCGACATACGGAGGATCGGCTGCAGAAGGGATCAGCTGAAATTATAAAGCAATCGTTGAGAGAGCAGAATCCTCTATTCCATCATTTCTTTTACCAGACCCAATTGATTTTGCCCTGAGACCATGGCAAGGAAACGTCATGTTCCCCCTATTCCGGAAGAACTGCCACCCTGCGATGGCCCAAAGCTTCCCCTATTCGAGCACCACGACTCCAAAATCGAATGGCTTGAGCGGCTTGGAGATGGTGGGGATACAACACACGAGGGCTATGTCTTCCGTGTCAAGATCAAACGAGCCGAGTACGCAATTAAAGTGGTAAGACCCTGTGATAGAACCATCCCTATACGCAGCTTGATTTAAGATATCTAGCTAATATGGCAACATTTTGCAGTTCAAATTCTACGACCCCATGGAAAGCGAATACTTCTGGGAACCTCTCATCGGTGAGGTATCACTGAACACGGCCGCCTATTATACCGATCCATTCTATAATGAATGTCGCGCGTACGGTCGAATTCGAGAAACAATAAAGAAAAGACCCAAGATATCTGACGCGGCAACTCGTTGCTACGGGTTCCTTTTTCTCAGTGATAGAGATCAAAGATATCTGGAACAGAAGAAGTGTGACCTGGGACTAGAGAAGGTTGATCTGGCGTACCAGCGACAGACAGCCGGGGGTGTTAGGCCACGGGCGATTGTGAAAGGTCTAGCATCATCAGATCATGGCATCACAGAGCTCAATCTGAGGAAGATTCTTAATGGTATCCATACGTTGAACCGGGAGAAGATATACAATTTGGATGTTCGATTAGATAATATCAAGGATGGGAAGCTCGTAGACTTTGGGTCATCTTGGACTGAGCCACACATACTTCTAAACGCACTCGATGATGGCACAGCCTACAGCTATAGGACAACAGATCGAGTCATGTTCGATGAGATGTTGGTGGATGAAAATATTCCAAACCCCAAAAATATTGTAGCTATGCACTCCATGACGCTACGGCCAAGATACAACTGATTTAGCAAACACTGGCGAAAAGGGTTTACTTTGGTTAATGTATTATCATACTTCTTCAATGATGCATCTAAAATACACCGCAGTGTCCACTGAATCCATTTCCGTAGGTGTATTAATCAGTTCACATCGTTTTCCGCGCCTCGAGTAGCTTGCAATACGAGAGCCCAAGGCTCGCAACACCGGGTCTTTTTCTGCACGCAGTTCCTAAAAGGATCGCCATGTAGTAGCAGCACACCTTCTGACCTTGCATCATGCAACTAAGCGCCTCATGCTGTCTGCAGTAAGATGGGGGCCAACCCAAATCACTCGCGCACGTCATTATGGCCTCCAACGTGCATATCCCTGAACCCATAAACGGTTGCCACGTAGAGCGAACCAACTCATAAATCGCACCGGTGAGGTTCCCATTGCTTACAGTTGCATATCGCACCACATCTTGATAGTGAAGGGAGATAGCTCAGGGCAATAGGTCCAAAAACAGGGGCTCTCGGAACTCCGGGGCGGGGAGGTCGATGTCACGCTCTTAGGAATGTGATCGCATTGCCTATTCCTTGAGGCTCCCATCACAACTAGAATGGGGGTGCATTGCGGCTGAATGCATCAGCTATCCATCATAGAGCTTCCTCCACAGGAGCCGGACTAGTATCTGTCCTTGTAAAGATTTTTTCGCCGCGTCAAGGGAAATTCAATTCTTGTATTTCTTTTACTAGGCTTAGAGTAACACGAACTCTTGATAGAAACCCAAGAGTCATTCCAACCCCCCAAGACTCGTATTAATGATCTACGGCACGGACTTCTATGGAGCATCACTTCCAAAGCCGAGATCTGGAATCACCTCTACAAATTTTCATGTGAATGCCGACGCTCCCTGTGGTTTGCAATAACAATTCAAGATAACCGTAGAACAGATTGCCCACCTACCAGGCGACCACGAAATTTCGTTCCGTATCATCTGTGAACAACACTTTCCATGTAAGCACAGAACTTCCTTCATATTAGGTGCATTAGCAGTTCAAATTTCACTTTTCTTGTCTGTAAGTTATTCAATAGCTCAATCTTCACTTACCACAGGACGACAAGCTGGAAATTTTGAAGGGGAACTTACCTAAGCCTAACATGACCCGACTTCGACAGTTCACAGTTACTTCAATAGTACAGCGATAATTCTTGGAGTTTCAAACTCAAAGCTTCCTCTGATTTAATACACGGTAGCGCCTTATCTAGCTCTGCCGGGTGTTGTTAACATGTATGGCTTGAGCATCTGACCCCCGTCATGTTAAATTACAACAATTCCATAATTCGAAGTCTCAAAATCGGAAATACAAAAGTATCGGATTGCTTATAATTATATCCGATAGTAACAGAGCACGTCGATAAGCCCGATGGTGACCGGGAAGGCAGAGAGTGTTCAAAGGCGATGCATTGTTGGCATTTTGGTCAGACTGCGCCCCTCCCTTTTTTTTTTCTTCCTTTTACTATAGTTTGAGTTACGTTAGATATCAACGGGTTATCTTGTATTTTTCGTCATTCTCATATGTTGGTCCCTTTCAATTGACCTCTGAGGGAGCCACGAAAGCCAGTTCGACCGGAAAAGGGCTGCAACCTTACAACCCAATGTCCACAACTTCACGGAAGCATGGGTATATATGCTAAACTTGGGCAAATTTTAATGAAATGTTACAATTTAATAAATAAGTATTGCAGTCCACACTTTTTAACATCATATGTAGATAATTTAAGGGGCATAACGACTGATCATCTATGGGGTAAGTAAGGCAGGATCAAAATCTTGGTGATATAGCCTGGCGGTTTACTGTGCATTAGAGTCACGACCTAGATTGTTTGTCGTACTAAACGTTCCGGTCATTCACTTTTAAGGTGCTGTGAATCACGTTAGCCCAGCTGAATTGTCACCCCATTCAATGTCGTACAAAGGGCGTTTGATGGGGCGCAGCACGCCCTTGTTGCCTACTAATTGAATCTGCAAGCTTGAGCAGCTGCTTATTTTCATGACTCACCTAAATAAACTTCAGCTTATTGGGCGTGGATCTCGATATGTTACACAGAGGAACACTAAATGGCCTGAAATCATTTTATCCCATGCAACGAGCCCTCATGTAGATCGTGCTTTCCTCAATGGCCGATCCAGCTTGCACCTTCCCTATAATAAGCTTCTACGCACATCAACACATCATCGTAACACTTCTACTCCTCGAGGTAAACATTCCGCATACATTACTCTACTCTCTCATCTCACCATGGCTGAAATACCGCCGCCAACACCAAAAAGGATGCAGCGCATCGCTTCACAGCTCGGCAAACTGTCGCTAGAGCTCGTGGAGCCCATCATTTCCACTTTGCCGCTTTACAAGGCATTGGATCTCATGATGGTTCCTCTAGAGCCTGTTGCGGCTCCCGGCCTTCTGTTCACCCACCGCCAGCTGAGCCCTTTGGTTCAAGCCTTCATTTCTAGCCCAACCTGGAAACACATCTTCAGAGACACCAAACTAGCCACACAGATTTTGCTTGTTTGGGAGGGACTGAACCGAATTTTCAAGCTCTGTCATGGAAATGGCTACTGCAATATAATCAAAGAGACCAACCCTGCCTTCTTCCCTTGGGCCAGAGTGCAGCCGACTTGGAGAATTTTAGGCCAAGGAGCAGATCAAATCTCTGACGGAGATTGGCTTCTGGCCAAACTAGAAGGCGCTCTGTGGTTGATGGCGGTGCCTGGAGAACAAACCGCCATATTTTCCAACCGTCCATCCAACGCGGCATTCATGATTTTGCCCCCAGAGTATGGCGCCTTGCCCAACTCCCCCAAGATTGATGCGCTTCCTCCTCAAGGTAGGTTTCCATTCACTCAAAGTTCAGTTGTCCAAAGCACTCACACCAAATCTTCGCAGACGAGCTTTTCGCAGACCAAGCTGGCCTTCCACTATTCGACTTGTTCCTGGCGACTCCACGCCTTCATGAATTCCAGACGACAGGGTGGGACACATCGACACTTTACAAATATATAGGCGACCTCGAAGAGGCTTGGAAAATGCTTAAAAGCAGGTGGACTTTGGAGCTCCAGTCCCTTGAAGTTTTGTACAAGCGTTACCCGCACATGCTGAAGGCGGCTCTGAGGCCTCAAATGACACAGGATCCTATGAACAAGGATCACATCCCAAGATCGTTTCAACGAGCCATTCGCAAGTTGGAGGGATTGGGCCTCCGAGGCAACGGGCCGTGGCCTTTTCTTTTCCAGTTTTCTCACCACTACCTAGTGCCCTACAATTGGTGTCTGCGTCTTTTCAGGATCGTGCTGGATGAGAAGAACCCTGAAATTCCTCCCGAGTTTGGTCCAGACTTGGAGCGAGCCATCAAAGGTCTCTCATATGTCCAAAAGTACGGGGGAGGTGATAACCTAAAGTACCCGAGAATCAGAGGTACCCAGGGAGATGCGCGCCATATGGAATTTGAGGTTCATGTTGATAGAAACACGCTTCTGCCAGCCTCGCAAGCCGAACTGCAGTGGCTAATCTCGTTCATTACCGTTGTGAGGTGGATGGAGAGTAAGTATTTCGATCTTGCCGAGGAACTACGTCGTCCCGTTGCTCGGATCTACCGTGTCGAAAAGGGAAGGGGTCAGAAAAGGTTCAGCCTAATCCCGTCGGAGTACAAGAAATTGGTAGACTCGTTACCGGCTCGAGAGGTCGCCGCGTATTTGAAAAAGGATGCAAATCTAACAACTCGCCCCATGACCACCAACAAGGCTCGCTATCCGAGTTTACTCGCCTTTTCAATGCCTGATATCAAAACGCCGAAAGCCCAAGAAATTGCAAAGTATCTGGCACCACAGGAAGGAATGTCGAAAGATATTCAAAAGATCATCTACGAGAGCACGATAGAAAAGATCAAGGGCCATTTCGGCAGATCATTCTCTCCGCCACCCAAAGACAACAAGCTTTTGGTATATGAAGCCCTCGATGAAAACACGCGATCTATTAGAACGTCATCGGAATCAACCGAATGGGCTGGTGCAGTTAGAGACTATGCCAATGCGATGCAAAAGAAGCCTGCACCTCCGTCTCGTCGCTGCTATATTTGTCGACACACTGTGATCGATGAGCGAGATCTGCATCCGATTTTTACCGCCATGTGCAAACCCTGCGGTAATTTCAACTTGGCGGGCTCTAGCATGTCGTTACCAGGAAAGCTCGACCTCAACGGGAAAACCGCGTTTGTCACTGGAGGCAGAATCAACCTTGGATTTCACACAGCGCTGAGACTGCTTCGATGCGGTGCAAAAGTCATAGTCTCCAGCCGATATCCACAAGACGCGTTTGTTCGATACCAAGATCAACCAGACTCTTCCGAATGGCTAGAGAACAGGCTCCGTATTCTCGGGGCTGATTTCCGCACAGCTAATGACGCCTTTCAGCTTGCCAAACGCGTGAGGGCTGCTCTTTCAACATGGGCAATTACTGATACTGCCGTATTAGATATCATGGTCAACAACGCAGCCCAGACTCTGACAGATAGCAATGAAAAGGAGGAGGCAGCGGTGAACAACGAAATCCATCTAGCTGCGTCCCTGCCTCAGCATCCTGCTTTGCCGGCTGTGGCATCTTATACTCCTCGTGTTGGGGGTGGTGCATCCGCAACTCACTTCATAGGGAACCAGAGCGGAGGAAGTCTTCCGCCAACAAGCCCCTCTACATCAGCTATCCAACTTGCTCCTAAAAAATCGTCTTGGGTCCAGGACTTAACAGAGATACCCTATGCTGACGTCGTGACCGCCCAGGCTGTCAATGCTTTTGTACCTCTGATTCTTATACGTGAGCTTCTACCACTCATGTCTCGCAGTCTGGATAAACAGCCAGGTCAAATCATAAACGTTTCTTCTCGCGAGGGGATATTCGAAGACAGGCGGAATCATTCAGCTAAACAGGGCAAGCACGTCCACACCAATATGTCGAAGGCTGCGTTGAACATGATTACCGAGACGTTGGCATCATCATCATGGAAGGACTTCTATGTTGCCATGAACACTGTGGACCCTGGTTATATGAGTGCTGCTCCAGAGAAAGAACACCTCTTTGATGGTGTGAGGCCTCTAGGTTGGGAAGACGGCGCTGGGCGGGTATTGTGGCCAGTCGCGATGGCGTATGAGGACAAGACCCCCATATGGGGTCGTTTTTTGAAGCATTATGGAGCCGTGGGCGTGACTCCAGGCCTAGGTTAGATTATCTTATAATTGCATCGTTATGGTAGATGTTACAACGCCCGGGGTTTAGAGGTCTTCTCTCGCTAGAGCCGGTATGTTAGCTTGCTAGTCAACTCCGTCTATTATCAACTCATATTCATATCTCATTGTGCCTATTCAACGCCAAGTTTAATGTAATTTCTCATCAATTTCTCAATCTGAGTTCCCGATGTTCCCTAAGAATGCAGTAAGCTATTGATCTACCGCTAGATATTATGATGCTTAACCAATATCTATTAATTATACTTTCTCGGACAGTACTACAGATCAGCTGGTAGAAAGAGTGAATTACTTCTCTTTTTGAGATGCTTGTGAGTCAGCCAGAGTCTCCTACTATGTCCATTCCGAGATCTAAGTAAATTACGATGCATTCCTCGAGGTGAAGATTAGCAAGTAAATAGGAAGCTAGCGAAGTACGGTAGCGCGAGTTTCTCGGTGCATACTTTTGACAGTAAACCGGGTTAAATAGAAGCCTCTCTGGGGTTGCCCTAGCATGCGTTCCCCATCTCACTCCCGATTACCGATAATCATTGCTGCTCAGCCGCCGTTGCCCCAGTCCCCCCTTTGCCTTTTTATTTCAGTGAATCATGGGTCAACGAGACTTCTACATACATTTCGTTGGGAAGGGATGTTGGTTTGAAGTGTGAGAAGTTGTGTCGGCAGGCTGCCTCAGCAGGTCGACGGCGAGTATTTCCACAAACAAAAATACCTGATGCCATAGGGAGAGCTCTTTGTGTTATCTGGTGCCTGATTTTAGCTTTCGATGTCGTGATTTCTAAGACTGGCCCCCGCCTCGGCTCTGGGATCCGAAAGCCGGGTATAAAGTCGTCAAGCGTCGGCTCCTTCCACGTTGGCGCGGACTGTAATTCTAACCCCGCAACATAAACATTCAAGTTTTCAACAACATCAACTTGACAGGGCATTTCCGCGAAAAATGGCATCGTCTTTCCAGCCTACAAGCATCCTCATAATAGGAGCCACTGGCGCTATTGGGAAATACATCACCGACAAGATTGTGGATGCCCAGCCGCCGTTCCCCAAGGTCTCCATCTTCACGTCCGAGTCAACAGTGTCGAAGAAGGCCGAGTACATCAACCAGCTCAAGTCCAAAGGAGCTCATATAATCACCGGCGATGTCACTAATGCCAATGATGTCAAGGCAGCATACGAAGGTGTCGACACCGTCGTCAGCGCCGTGGGCCGAAATGTCATCGACCAGCAGATCGAGCTGATCAAGCTGGCGGAAGAATCCACCTCTGTCCAGTGGTTCTTCCCCTCGGAATACGGCACGGATATTGAGTACGGTCCTGAGAGCGTCAACGAGAAGCCTCACCAGCTCAAGCTCAAGGTTCGCAAGTACATCCGCGAGAACGTCAAGCGCGTCAAGTACACGTATCTGGTCACTGGACCATACATAGACATGTTCTTCACGCTTAAAAAATCAGCTCCCGAAGCTGGCGGCTTTGACATTGAGGCGAAGAAGGCAGTTCTCGTGGATGGCGGCGAAGGTAGAATCGGCTTTACAACAATGCCTGAGTAAGTTTCACAGAACCAGCTACACCGGTCATCCAAAGCACGTGCTGATATCGTATAGTGTTGGAAAAGCACTGGTGGCAGCTCTCCGCCATCCAGAGGCGTCGTTCAATAAAGCTCTCAAGGTCCAGTCTTTCGTTGTGACACCAAAGCAGATTCTGGCCGAGTTTGAAAAGCAGGTCGGCGGCCCAAAGTGGACTGTGACTTCCTACACTCTCCAGGAGTTGAAGGATGCGGAGAAGAAAGCATGGAGCGAAGGGAATCCAGATGCTACAAGCTACACTCTGCGACGGATTTGGTCGGAGGGAGGAACCCTGTATGAGAAGACGGACAATGAGAGCATTGGGCTTGATAGCTCTCAGTTAGAGACGCTCGAGGATGGTGTGAAGAGAGCACTCACCACTGGCTGGTAGAAGGAATAGACTACGTTATCATAAAAAGACGTTCACAACACCTCACATATCCCGTCTGACAGCCATTCAGTACGGTTCTACTTCAACTAACATCCCCCAAGTAGGTGAATTAACGCATACCAGGACTATTAATCTTGAATCTATAGAACACGCCAGGATAATTAGCCCAACAAATCATTGATATAGAACATGTTTTTGGGGTTGCTAGTCTCAATCCACATATGCTAGGTCCATATTGTACAACTTACACAAGTAAAATTAATCGATACCGGAGTAACGCGGATATCGTACATCGATAGTTGTGAGGCGTGGGTGGAATAAAACGTGGCACACCAAAGCTCTTTCCGCGTAAGGCAGGAACCTCGTTCTTAAACTAAACATAATAATAAGAGAATAACTAGAGAGTAACAAACTATTCTATAATAGGTATTTAGCTCGATATTGTATTTAGTACTAGATTATTTATTGTGATATTGTGTTGAAATTCAATGCTGAACTATCTCGATGTGCCATGTCTTATTTCACCCACTTGTAAGGCTAAACAATCCTCGTCATTGAGTGAAGGTTAGAGCCGGGAAAGGAATGTGTAGCAAAATAGACGAGAAGACCGCTAATTTAGTACGCGAAACCAAGGCCCCGACTTTGGTATCTGAGATGATCATGTGTTTGCCTCCTAGAGATGAAAGATACAAATGAAATCCTAAAAGCTACCAAGACCCAACACCATCTATCTATTATTAATCATGTCAGTGTTCTGTGATTGCTACGTCGACAGCAGCCCATGCGGAGGGGTTAAAATTGCTGTGCTACACTAGAACCCGGCTCGGGTGAGCCCGGATGAGTAAGATTTTCAGATAGACATGGTCATTCTGTGTTAACGGTGAACACAACGGTGTTCTTACAGATTCACAGAGTGCTTCCTGTTAGTTGCTCTCAAGAGCCAAGAGCCTATCCCAATTGAAGTGAAAAGTTTGCAACAATTGAAGTCGAGAAATCCCATAAACGAGAGGGGTAGGTAGGAGCAATCGATGAATAGTATGGTGTTGGACAGATCCGCTGCCTAGGCACCTAGGTGTAGCCTTGCTTTGCCTCACTTCCGTCACATGTTGGCGGCCAAAATGTGATAGGATTCAACCGATGCAGCAACCCCGATCCGTGATGTAACCGACTGAACCAACGCCCTACCTTGTGGATCGAGAGGCAAAAGGGCCGTAGGGGGTGAAATTCTGACATTCCCCCACCACAGATCCAGTTATGCATGTTGGTACTAACACAACCAATTTGGCCCAGCCGAACACGCATAGACCACCTGGCGACGATGTTGACGGAACTCTAACCCGAGAGTTATGATTTACTACCGAAACGATATCTTCCAGACGTAGCATATCAAAACGGTCGAATGGCACAAGTAACAAGACAGAATGACCACAGCCTAGGTCAGCCTTGCCTCTGAGTTGACCAGCATATTCATTAACATAGCCGGTCCTCTTTGATCGATTGCGTGGTCAGTAACATTAACTGTACGCATCTAGTGGAGACCTCGCTAAACTATTGGCTGTAATTGATCGTAATGAGATTATGCTCCCGGGGAAGGGCCTTGTGATCCGAGATCTCAATGGCTACCGACGGCGCGGCTAGCTCGCATTCCTAATACAACACCGGTCTTTCTGTTGGGCCATGCCAAAAGGAATTCCTCCAACGGCCGAGAGGGTGAAGCTCAGTCACGGTGTGCGAGTATCAAAGACAGCTGTCAATATTGACACATGTGAGAGATGACTGCGCGGCACTCGGCTACTGTGAGAGGATGTTGATGGAAGGACATGGGGCCCCCGCCAGCAATGAAGACCCATGTCAAATGGTACGCAAGTCGGACCGCAACAGAAGATACCTATACAACACAGTGAAAGAGGGTGTATATTGCCTGGATTGATGTTTGTGGGCAGGGTGGAAATATCTCATGCTTTGAGCTCAATATACCGAATTTCTAGGTGAGCTGGCCGGCGGATGAGATGACGGAGCTGGCAGGTGAGATTGTCCCTTGTCAGCGGTCGTCGACTAGTTGTCACCTGCTGTGCCTCAACCCTGCTCTCACTGGAATATTTTTCACACGGCTTATTATATTAATTATTAATTAAAGAGGGCTCGGCATGGCACACTTACATATGCCTTCATGCCCGACCAAACCCTCGGGCCCGGCAGCCGGAATAGAATCCGCAGTGCTACCATGAACGCCTATTACAGGGAATGTTCGCCAGGGTCCAGTCCAGCCGCAGGTGGAGAGGCAGGTTTGAGAGAACAAGTGCCAAGAGCTTCGAGTAACACGGCCCTGTACAAGTCCACGGTCTTTGGCGTTGAATCTTGTCTTGCTGGCCGCGTATCGCACCCTCATGCACCAACAGACTTCATATTATCCCAAGAGCACAATCCAAACTCTCAAACCCCCGCAATTACGGTAGGGTTTGGTGATGGACGCGCTAAATCTGAAGGGAGCAATGCTAAGCGAATCCTCCTCCACCCACCTGGTCCAGCGATCCCCTACCCTCTCAGGATGCGAGCAATCTCTTTGTTCTCGAAAGGGGGCTGCGTAATTTGCACTTGACACGCAGCCGAGGACGAGAGAGCCAAAGCAGAAAGCATACCGAGAAAGCAGGGGACGGTATTTCAGCAGACCCCACGGCGGTGCAGATCGTGCTTGTCCCCATGTAACGCTGCTACGACGTTCCAGGAATGGACGATGAGGGCCTGCGTAGGCCACTGCAACCCAACCGTCCGGTAGTACCTACAACCAGGTGACAAAAGTCACGAAGGAAATATGAAAAATCCAAAATATTCGCAAATTAGGGAGATCAGGAAAATGCGTATTTCTCTACTAATAATAATCCAATTTATATAATTTAAATTATAATTGATTCCCTAGTTATTTCTCTTCCTTTCTATGTAATTTTTAATACTTTGTATACTATCCTTCTGTATTAATTACAGCTTGTATATGCTCCGGTATGGTATTGATTAGTTTTTTAAGTATTTTAACTTTAAGCTCCTCCTATACCGCGATTGCTGTAGTAATTAATCTCTGCTTTGCTTTATCTGTCTTAGGAAGAGATACTAATTCGGGATATTGTTTATTAATATGGGTTTTTAGGATATTCTATAAGTTTTCGATAGGATTAAGGTTAGGGCTGTAGGCTGGCTAAGTTATTAATCTGACTCTATTCTCCTGAGTGAATTCTTAAAGCTAATTCTTAACTATTTTTGCTGTATAAGTAGATATATTATTATCTTGGAAGATAGAACCTGGAGAGAGAATAGTTAGAAGGTTTTCTATATAATATTTGAGTATTCTGTATACTGTAATACTGCTATACTTGGATTTAGGGTTATTAAGCAGTAGTATAAGCGATAAGTAATTATAATAGGAAAAAGTACCCTAGAATATCTGGCTATAGTGTGTTGGTTTTATTTAAGGCTGAATATGCTCCTTGTGAAATTTGGTGCCCTGCGATGTAATATTAGTAAAGTTATAAGGGTTAGTATAAAGTATACTTCTCTGTGGAAAACCTGCTTCTAGTGGTCTCCCTGATTACGCTGTATAGTTAACTTATCTGAGAAGAAAATAAGCTGCTACTACTCTGCAGGCTTATCTCTGTTCTTAATAGTGAATGCTAGATATTCTGTAGCTGCCTCCGGGGTTAGATACGGGCGGTGTGTAGCTTTTGGGTGTATGATGTCCTCCTTTTAAAGCTACTGGAGAAGTATGTGCTTATAATAACCTAGATCTGTATCTATTAAAATCTGTTTAGCGGATATAAAAGGGTTTTTCTTGATGTATCTAAAGATATCCTTTTTGTTAGTATTAGTTATAATTAAGGGCCTGCTAGAGTGTGGTGAAGATACAGCTGCTTTTTGGATATGGTATTATAATATAATTTTATAAACTGACTACTCGGGTACTCTCTCTTTAAATACTACTATACGGGCTGTTAGATCTAAATTATAGCTTATTATAATCCTCGTCCTTTTGTAAGGGCTATACTTAAGCCTTGATATCTTTGGGATTATTATTATTGAATTATTTGAAAAAGAAGAAGTTGGATTAATTTTACGCGCGGTCGGGGAGATGCGTTTTAATGGGCCCCACGTCGTGACTTTTGTCCACCCTCTGTAGCAGAGACAAAGGTGCCGATCCTCTGGCGCCGGGAGATCAGATAGAGCGACGGCCACTCCGTAGTGAAAGTGTATTTCGTGGGTAATAGTTGGAATGCAATGTTATTGATACACTAAAGCGGCGAAGGGCCGGCAGACTATCATTATAAGGTACCTACAGCCGAACTTAGAGGCCAGTGCCGATTAGTGAGCATGTGTGCAGCAATTGGGGTACGTAGAGCAGGTGCTAGTGGCAGCTGTTCCCAGCACGGTACACTTTATGTAGCGCGTGAGCTAGGGCCTGTTGGCTGCTACAGCGTGCCACAAGCCAGATGCACCTGAGCCTCAGTGATGGATCACTGCCAACGCTTCTCGCTGAGACCGAGTCCAAGGCCATGGCGCAACGTGCTCGCCCTCTGCCTCGTGCATCTCCCCGCCCTCTCGCATTTTGTGACACCGCCATACATTCCCGCTGCGCTCCAGCCATCTGGTCACCCCAACGCACCCATGCGCTAAGGCTGTACCCTGAACTACTAAGTAGTTGACCTCCGCAGGGGTGGTGTTTCTGGGGGTGTTCCATCGTCGCTGACCCGTCCTTGTACTACTTACCACACTCTCTTCCTTCCTTCTCCCTCCCATCATTACTCTCCGTCCCCTCATGAGCTGAGCCAGGTACTTGTGTATCGTGTGTATATTGTCCGTGGCTTCAAGTGGTGGACTAAGGCATACAACGAGCTTTCTCATCTCTGCCACGCCAAAGAGCCAAGCATTCACGAACAAGACATATCTTCGCCCACTGCCGTCATCCCCCTTAGGATGGTCTTGACTTGTCCAGAGAGGAGCCGGATTTGAGCTGGATACTACATCAGCCGCACTTTGTGCATGCAGATCCCCCATTTGGACCAGAGGACCTCCTGCGTCACGGGTCTCTCCTACCTTATTGGTTTGGGTCGAGGCTGGCCTTGAGAAAATTTGCGTGAGCACAGCCAAGGGTGTTTTGGCTGACTGTCATGGCGCACAATGCCGAGGATCAACTCGGTGACGGCCCAGTTCTGCCGCTTCTAGCAAACCAAGGAAACCTACCTGATCCTCTTCTGGCTACCGACATAGCTGACAGCGACATTGACTCCGGATATGGCGACTCGATTCGCGACGAGGCCGGTTCAATTTCCAGCTCCTTGAGCAGTCTTTATCCTCCACAGTATCATTACGGTCGTCGCTACCACGGCCTAAATCCTGGCTCCTATCAGATTCCCGATGATGACCTGGAACAAGCTCGTCTGAGCATGGTGGATTACATGTTCCAGCTGGTTCTCCATGAACGCCTTCATCTCGCCCCGGTACCGTCCAGTGCCGCCGTACTGGACATTGGCACCGGGACTGGCCACTGGGCTGTCCAGTTTGGAGACCAATATCCCGACGCCACGGTCCTCGGCATCGATCTCAGCCCCATCCAGCCCCAGTGGGTGCCGCCCAACGTCCGTTTCGCCCTCGATGATGTCGAGCAGGACTGGCAGGACGATGAGCCTTACGACTATATACACTGCCGGTACATGGGCGCCACCTTAAGTGATTGGCCACGCCTATTCTCGCAAGCCTTTAACAACCTGCAACCGGGAGGCTGGCTCGAGCTTCAGGAACTGGTCAACGTGGTGCTGACCGAGTCGAGCCAAGACCCCAATACTCCCTCCGCATCATCACACCAGCCTGTCGCGCCAGAGCACCCCATCGCCAGACTAATCGACAATCTCACAATTGCGTTCGACAAGCTTGGCCGTCCTTTCAACCCAGGGCCAAACTTCAAGCGCTGGTGCGAGGAGGCCGGCTTCCGTAATGTCACGGAGCGCCATTTCACGGTACCCATCGGTGACTGGCACCCGGAACCTCGCATGCGCGAGCTGGGGTCCCTCATGGCCGTCAACCTCACCGAGGGCGTCGACGCCTACACGACCAAGGTCTTCCAGGACACACTAGGCTGGGACCCGAAGGACATAGCAGATCTTAATGCCGATGTACGGGCGGCGGTACAGCAATCTAGCAGAGACAAGTTGCTGTATGAACTGGTGGTTGTGACGGCGCAGAAGCCACATTGATAATGCTTGCGGATTTTTCCTTTAACCTATCCATCCGGCTCGACACGACTCCACATTCGCCTCAACGGCTGACTGAGTATATAATCAGTTTCTCTGGGTTTTGATACAGCACTTTGATTCGGAGGGCCAGCGGACACATCACGGAATGGTCTATTTATATACACTAATGAAAGGCTGTGCGAGAAGTCAGAAGCGGCTTCACCTGACTCAAAACTCGGCACCATCCCTCCTATTTCGCAGCTTCGAGGATGCTCGTCACGGTAATATACCGAAACAGAATGAGAAGTGCCGTTGACTTGTCAACGCCACCTCGGAGGTTATTTGGACACTATTTGTTCCATTATTGGATAGGCGTTTTGTACAATATGTTGGTGAATCTAGGGTTCACATGATAATGATATATATAACGACATATAGGTTGTGGGAGTTCGGTTGTGCATGGGATTCAATTTTTACTTGCTCATTTGTGGCGGTGCGGAAGGGGGCGCATGAAGGGATGCCTATGAAAGGCAGTACTGAAAAGCGGCTCATTCTCTACGACCAGACATGGCTTGATGAGTGAGAGCGTGGAGCAGAATTAAGTAAGGAAATAACTTACTCAACGAAATCCAAATACCTACGTCATCAGCTGCCGAACATTGAGCACCAGTGATGCAACCTCGAGAGCAACAGTGATGCTTCCGACTTACAGAAGGCGTGCCTGGTATTGGTAGATTTAGAGTTTTATCACTTTTGCCCTTGTTAAGTAGAAGATGAGTAGGCGAGTCATGCCCGTCAAATGCTGTAGAGATTCATGATGATATTTTCCCACCCTCGAATAATCCAACGCGGTGGGCATGAGGGCATGCTAACACTTATACATGTTCTATAAGCCTCCCGCATAGCGGAGACATGTAGTTGTTACATTATAGTTACAGTTCTACTCCATTTGTTCATCATTCGCAGCTTAAAATTGACGTAAACGGCCCAGTATCCTCTCCCTGACAACCTTGCTGGCGACCTCTGCGCCGTGCTGCAGGGTGATGGCGCCAATGATGGCAAGGACGGCACCATTCATAACGACCTCTACACCTGAGGACTCGAGGTTGTGTGGCTGTTGGGAGAAGATTATCAGCATATATCGAGAGAAGCAGGGCCTAGATCCTCCAGGCCAACTGCAATGTCACTTACTAGTCTGGGCTTCCATCGAACCACGTTGAGCATGCCCACGCTCTGCGCAAGCTTGTAGATGCTCTCCTTGCTGGCTACGGTCTGGGGAGTCCTCACATTGAGGTTGTCGACTTGTGATAGCTGCGGCGACTCGAATGGTTGTCTCTCGCTCTCGAAATCGTCGATGGCTTTTGCCCCCGGCAGCGGCTCCTGGCTCACAATATCTTTTGCTGCCTCCATGACAAGAGTCATACGACCTATCAAGAAGTTTCGTTAGCCCATATTCCAGTCGGTCAACGCCTCAATTGACACACGGGGTGAATTGAGAAGAGGCGGAGCGTACCCATAAGTGCCAGCTTGTCATTGAACCCTCTCCTTCCCTGGTCAAAGCTCTTGTGTGTGATGGCGAGCCACTTCAGCTCGTCGGGGAGCATCCTGCTTCCATTGGGACCCAACAGCTCGTCGTACATCTCGTTCAGGACGCGGGGGTCGTTGTTGACTACCCAGATCTTGTTCTGGGGCTTCTTGGCAAAATCCATCCGGATCGGTGCGCTCATACCCTCCGGTGTGACTTCCCATCTTCCCCTTCGTGCTCGGTAGGCCGTCGAGGCATCCGGGGTGGTGTTGGTGGTGGCGGTGGTGGAATAGCAGGCGGCGCGCAGGCTGGCGGCTCTGAGGACCTGCTGGCCTCGCGCCAGAGCTGATCGGCACGGCTGCATGGCCATTGTGAGGCAGGCGAGGGAGGCAATGGACGGAGTGGTGGGCGGTCGGGATTGGAGATCGAAATCCTCGCTTTGCAGAGCCGCTCGAAGCCAGCCAAGAATCGGTCGCGAACATTTTCTGAGGTCACGTGGTCTGGTGAATCGTGAGAGTGGCTTTTGAGGTACGTACCTTCCGACTACGAACCAGAGGACCCACCCCCGAACTTTACTAACTTGTCCGTACAGGTACTAACCTTTCTAGGGCGGATTGCTGCAGAGGTACGTACCGGCACAATCCATCATCAAGCTCTCAGCCGTCGCCCTTCGCTCCAGCCTTCCCTGACATGAAGGAAGTCAACTGGTTTCCATGGAGTAATGGCCCAGTGCTTCCAATTCTTTTTCCAGCTGCCATGAGCTTCTAATATCCCATGGAAGCTATTCAATCGACATTTCTTGGTCTCAGCACATGAACACGAGCTGGAGACGCGCTTGGCTTCGCGTTGTTCCACCACATCAGTAGAGACAGAATCGTTGGACGAGCAGCCGAACCGCAACGGCAATGGCTTCCACAATGGCCAGCTCCTCGCTCTCCGAAGACACTCTTCGATCCCGACTGGCGGCTGTTCTCCCAAAGGGCTTCGCCTTCGGCATCCACCATGTCTCGACACCTCCGATCAAGTCCGAAGCTCTCTACGCCGCTCCCCCCAAAGAACGACCAGAACGCACCTTTGTCGAAAAGCACTTTCTCGCCGTCTCAATTGACCACCCTTCGGCCGAAAATGAGCCCCAGAAGATCCTCGTCCTCGGCCTCGAGATCTACATCTACACCACGGCAAGAGCTACGACCATCTTCGTCTCCAAAGCGGACTCCACGGGCTACTTGCACCTGCTCAACCTACCCAAGGGAACTCCGAGCCCCATCCGCACGATAACCGCCACATTTGTCGAATTCCTTGTCCACAATCGTCGCCGAAAGGATGTCCAGCTCGTCGTCAGTCTCTTTGCTCGTGCTCAAGACCAGTATCTGTTTCCCGGCAGCGTTGAGTACAAGGGGAAGCATGTCCTAGACGATCGTGGGCTCATAAAATGGTGGTGCCGGGTACTCAACCCACTACTCAATGACCCGGTGGATGGTTATATTCTCGTTCCCGGGCTGGAGACGAATGAGATGAAGGCCTTCATCCCCAAGGGCACCAGCCAGTCAGCGCGATGGTCGGTCGGCCACCCCTTGCTGCGCATCTCGCACTACGCCCGGCAGTTCGACTGGGTCCCGCCGCGCTGCCTCATTCCCCAGTTCCCCGACGACCCCAAGTCCCGCTTCCGCGATGAGCTTGATGCTGACGCACTGAACTCGGCCATTTATCGGACAACTGGGAACTGGAAAACGGTCCGCACATTGGACACTTTCTGGGAGATGATGGCGTATCGCCAGGAATGCTCGAGTGGCCGTATGACTGGATTCATCTGGGCCGTTTATGACGATGCCAAGCCGAAGGCAAGTGACGAGGGTGCAAAGCCTGCGGTGGCAGCAGATGCAACGGATGAGCCACCATCAACGCCCTCTAAACAGCGGACCGTAAATGTTGCACCCCAGACTACTCCCCGGAAGCTCTTCCCGTCTCGATCAGGTGCTAAACCATATGACGAGAGACACGAGCTGAGGATGAGAAAAGCAAGGGAAAGGAGGCGGAAGAAGAAGCTCACAGGCCCCATCATTCCGCGCACGGTGCGCATGGATGCCTTTCAGAAGATGAAGCGCCTGTTGGATCGCCCAGCCTATACAGCCTACTATGCGTGGGGTGTATCTGGCCGTGGAGAACTGATCGTCAGTGAAGCTAAGTACAAACGGATCATGGATATTCTCCTACACTTGGATTTTGCGACCCTGGAAAAGTCGGTAGCAGGAACTCGTCGCTGGCTCAGCGAGGTCGGCCTCGGAGCGAGCTGGGGGTATACTGTTGAAGGTGAGAGTGAAGTTGCTCCTCAGGAGGTAGCTCAGGATGAGTCTGGGCTGTCGCAGGTCAACAATTTGACCACCCTGGTTAAGAGGAAGCGGAGCGATACCCAAAATGAGGACACACCACAGGTGAATGTCCTGGGGGCTGGGTTGATCAGAAAGAAGAGCAAGGCGGAGGAAGAACCAGCGAAGCCAGCCGTGAATGTCCTAGGAGAAGGACTCGTGCGGAAGAAACCAAAAGCTTGAATATGAATCAAGGATAGAGCAAATCAGCGCGGCGTTTGGACCTGGGAAAAATTGGACAATTGATATCAACGCACAATGCAGATGATGGCATCCAGCATTAGGGTGAAATGAGGTTTTATTTTGGACATGGTCATGGGTCGAAGCAGTCGACATTGTTGGCGAGCAGCACTATTTGCTAACAATATTTTCAATGAATAAATTAAGGGCAAATCAGAGAAGCTCATCTGCCACTCTATGTATCATCCGTAACCATTCCGTGTGATCATAGCGAACCGGTCATCTTCGTTGCACTTACAAGAGTGCTACCAAAAAGGAAGGGACCTTTAAGAGAGCAAAACCAACAAAGGCAACTCACCAAGGCTCAAATCAAGTATACCAGTCGTGAAATGTTAAAGGTTATTTTCTTCATTTTTATATGCGCTATCTTCTGTTTAAATAGATTCTACAAAACATGCTAGGGGAGAAAGGGTGGCAACGGACAGGGAACGATCATCTACGACTTGAGAAACCTCATGTTGACCGGCGTGATGGCCTTGCCGCCCGCCAGCACGGCCATGATATTCCGCATACTCAGCTCCTCGAACCCCTTGTGCGTGTCCACCGTCCCGCCCGCGTTGTGGCAGGTGATCATCACTTTCCCCTTCCTCGCCAGCTCGCGCAGCCGCGGGTGGACGTTGGGCTCGTCCGTGTGGACGTCGAGGGCGGCGGACGACAGCCGGCCGCTCTCCAGGGCGTCGGCCACGGCTTCGTCGTCGACGAGGCTCCCGCGGGCGACGTTGACGAACCGCCCGCCCTCGGGGAACCAGCCCAGGGCCTTGGCGCCGATGAGGGGCCCCGAACCGTCGCCCTCTCCCGGTGGCGTGGCGGGCGCGCAGAGGACGACGCAGTCGGCGGCGGCGAGCAGGCTCTGGAGGGAGTCGTGTCGCCGGGCGCCGCCGAGGGGCTCCTCGACGGCGGCGGGGAGGCGGACGACGTCGTAGTAGTGGATGACCATGCCGAAGCCGTGGTGGCAGCGGGAGGCGACCTGCTGGCCGATGTTGCCGAGGCCGATGACGCCGAGGACGCTGCCTCGCAGGTTGCGGGCGTGGGCGGTGGCGTCCCTGTGGCAGGCGGAGAAGTCTGCCGGGTCGTCGGACTGGGCTGCGTTGATGCACCAGGCGAGCTGGCGGAAGGTGGAGATGATCATGGCGACGGCGAAGTCTGCCACTGCCTCGGCGGCCGCGAGGCCTGAGTTGCAGTAGATGATTCCTTAATGGCTGTTAGTTCTGCCATTCAGTCTCAAAGGATAGACGTAGCTCACCTCTCTCGCCCAGGAGCTTGGTATCAGCCCAGTCGAAGCCGGCTCCGGCACTGGCAAACACCCTGACGGTCGGCGGGAGCAGATCTACCAGCTCGCTGTCCCACAGGCCCATCTCGCCCCCCGTGCCCCAGAACGGGCGGAAGATGGCGTGGAAGTCCCCCCATCGGTTCTCCTTGAGGGCCCTGATGAACTCTGGGCGCTCGCGCTCCTCGGCCGAGGGGCGGACGATGTCGCACTGGGCGCTGAAGAGGGCGTACGTGTCCGGGTTGTACTTGACTGGGTCGCCAATGTGCAGGACCTTGGGCCGGGCGCCGGGGGCCAGCTTTGTGGGCAGGACGGGCGAGCCTGGGCTGGACATGCTGGGGAAGTTGGGGAAGTTGGGGATGATGGGAGTCTGCCTGGGAGCTGGGGAGGTGGAGCGCGGCGTCGACGCCGGGACAGGCGTGTTTGTAGGCTCGGCCATGGCTGTATTAATACTTTACACAGTATTCAATGAGCAGGCCCGGGTGTTTGTTGTCCGCAAGCGAAGTGTGCGAGGTGCAAGGGAGAGAGGCGATGTGAGGCGGTCAAATCGGCTGGCCGCAACATCATGCCACCGGCAGGCAGGATTGGAGTCGGCACCCAACGGCGAGCCTCTGGATGGGGATGGATGAGCGGGTGACCTGCTGCAGTGCAGCAAAACACAGCGCAGCACATGGGTCCGTCTGCATGAACAAACCCCGCAGGTCTGGTCTGGCCTGGCCTTGCTTTAAGCTTCTGCGCTGCTGTGAGAGGTCCGTCATCAATCGACGTGGGGGCATTTGCAACAGCAGGCTGACTTTTCTCACGACCAACCGTGGGCGGAATTGAAATTGAGTGTCAGCCTGCTTGCCATGGTCAGATACCACAGTAGCATTCTACAGGCTCAAGGCATCCGGTTCTCACCCTATAGGCAGATACACCCGTCACCTGGTCCGATCTCTCAGGACCGGTATTCGACCTGATTGATGGATTTTTTATCCGGGCACACGAGCTCTGCATTGGACATGGATCGTACGTTTACCACAAATAAATATGCTTGATTTATTCCTATGGTACGACCGGCAATTGGCCGGGAGGGAGGCATTGGCACGGTGGACGGTGGATTGCATAGGGCTCGTTCTATAGACGTAATTTTCTTGGCGTATACAACAATCGATGATTAATCCCTCCTCTGCCTGTTTCTCAATTGCCTCCCATTCACTCTAAAGCTCGGCCTGAGCTTCCCCGAGTGTTGCCTCCAAGATTGGCCTGTCAGCCAAGGGGAGTGCCAACCGCCCAACACTGACCTCTCTCGGCCATCCTGCGCTCTTGAGTGCACCATCAACGGTTCGGATCAAGCCTGTCCACGAGTCACCCCCAATTATCGAAGCACTGACCGGCAATTGCTCTGCTCTGCCGCTAATGATGGATTCAAATGGAATCTGGTCAACTGCCGAGACGCATTAGCACTACCGACTCCAACCAACGAGAACAACAAGTCAAAATGCACTTACACGGAAGGACCAAGTGCGGCGAATCTAGTATTACCGGCAGCAATTCATACGTGAGCCCTTCAATCACCTTAGGATCACTATAGACGGCATCAGACACGACTCGGAACTCATCGACTTGCGACAGTTTAGAACTTACTCGAGTTTATCTCGACGATATTGCGGTTGCGAAACTCCATGTGAAAACACTACAAGAGTTGTAGAGTTCCCGTTGAGGATGGTATCACGAAACCAACTCGTGAATACGCCAATATGTGACAAATCCAATGTGTTCTGTTCTTCTGTGACCTTGTCACCATAATCCCTGATGGAACCCAAATGTCAGAAACATCTCAAGGTTCAAGAAGGGAAAAGCGATCATACCACCTAAACCGAGTATTCCGTTCGACAAACGCTTCGCGATGAAACTTTTGGCGATAGTCCTTCTGAAACTGACGATACTTCTGAGCTTCGCGATAGCACAGACTCCGGAATGGAGCAAACTTCATAAACTCTCCGAGTGAGACATCGCCAAAGCCATTAGGAGGTTGTGCGTCCCACAAAGCCGCAAGACTTGTATGCTCGGCTTTGACTTGGAGGGCTGACTCGAATACGGAGATGAGCTTTCCAAAGGATTTGGACTGCTCAGTTGGCAGCTCCGGGTTCAAGTCTGTCAAGTACAAAAGTCGGTTCGCTTGCGGTCCTCCTGATTCAGGACTCCTTGGCCCCAATACTGCTTTGTGGACCTCATGAAGAGATTGTAATTCGCGGCTAATAATTTCCACACCTTCAGGTCTTTTACCCTTTCGGTATTAGTGTCGGGTTTCTTGTTTGTAAAGCAGCATATATGGGATGGTACTGACGGTATGGCTTTCAGTTTCGGGACGGTAGGCAAAGATAATCGCAGAGAATAAACCCCGCCAGGCATTGCAGTATTTGCTAATGCTCCGACGACTGCTGTACGTTTTAGCCCAGTCTTATTTATACGCCGTTGAGGGACCTACCGTGTTCTCCTACCGCATGCTGCAGCCATGGGTAGCCAGCTACAGCCGTTACGGCACCTGGTGAGCTGTCATCCGCCCTCTGATACCCATCAGCACGTGGATTCCAAGGAGAAGGAACATCCACCCATTCTTGGCCAGACTCCATTGGCGAGATCTTTGTCTTGCCCACAATCACAGCTCCGAGGTCTATCAGCCGTCGGACGAAGTGAGCCGACTCTTCGGCTGGCCCTGGATGCAGTAGTTCCCATGAAGCGCTTGACAGGGTAGTTCCCACGCCCTCCAAGGAAGCGGTATCACAGATGGACACTCGAACGCCGGAAAGTGGTTTACTAGGAGATGGGTGGCGATGATATAATCGTGAGGGCACGGGAATTGATTTGTGCAGGCCATTAGTCGATAATGCGTTCAGTACTCTGAATCTACAGATAATCAGTAGTGAACACAGCGTCGAGCGGATGGATGTAGGTTACTGTTCAGGCTCATTGACATCTTCAGGTATCACACCAAAGACGAAAGCGTCATACTCATCTTCATAAAGCCTCCAAGCCTGGTATAGGTTCGGGCCATGCAAGATGTAAGGTCCTGAGGGGAGGTCGTTGAACCCTTGGAGTAGGGAATTGGATGAGTTGAGTTGGAATACGTCTTGGGTAATTCCCAGTTTGGAGGGATCAGCATGCCGGTCATTCTCGGCGGCCTTTTCGACCAGAACCGAGCCAAACTCTGGGATGAAAACATCGTCCACGGCGTCTAGACCTGCTAGGAGCCCCTCCAGATCATGGCTGAAGATCTCATGTGTGGCTAAAAGTGTCACCGGTATGATTGAATCGGGGTTGATTATGGCGGTGATAGTGCCCTTGAATTACTTCAGTCAGCCATTTTCTTGGTTTAAAAACTACAGCGGGCGAGTTAGGGCATATGGTTAAATATACCAGCTTCTGTGGATGGATGAGATAGTGAATCCCGGCGATAACGACAGTTTGGAGCGAGACCATTTTCATCTGGGTAGGACCGATTGAATCCTCGAGGCCAGTGTCGATTTCCAGAACGGCAGCAATCAATAAGAGAAGTCTGGAGCTGGCATATCTCACAACTATCTTGGGCAGCACTCGGGGGCCATGGAAGAGTCGTCGGGTGTCAGGGTGGTTGGGTTTACAACTGATGGGCAGTACCGGATGACTTGGCCGCTTGTTCTTTCTTTTCCCAAGCCTAATTTCCACCGCCGAATAAGTACCTGCGCCTCAAAATAAAACTACTTAAAAGGCACAATATTAAGTTGAGAGGCATGACAGCTGATGATGAAGTGATGGAATTAGGAGGCTGAAGTCACACCTGGTCTTGGAGCAATCGCGAATGGCCAATGAAATGCGTTGGATCTGTTCGAATTATGGGGCCGCGGCATTCTCCTGACCTCTGGCGCATGATCAGAAACAAGACACGCCTCGACCAGCCAAGTCATTGATGGCATGAATCCAGGGGCATTGGTGCCATTCGCATACTGGGCCGGGAAGCCGTATTGAATGCCATCACATTATGCATGGCCTGACAGCTTCTGATAGGTTATTGCTATGCGACGACAGACAGATCCACGCTTTAAGTCAAGGTGGTGTGGGGTAGGCTGGTGGAAATGGTCACCGCCAGCTCGTTATCGGTTACCGACGTCTCTTATCGCGCGGAACCCCACCAAGAATTTCGAAAGAATCGAAAAACTCCCCGACTCCAAATCGGCCGTCGATATACTCAACAGCCGCAAATACTTATAGAAAATTTCAAGGATCTCAAAATGGCGAAACAAAGAAGTGAGATCTTGAAGAGCCTAAAGCAGAAAATTGGAACATGAATTCGCTGACCCCCGGAACAGCCATATCAAAGCACTCCCGTGCCGCTCGCCGAGCCGCCTCGCCCACTTTCGAGACAGACAAAGCTCTCAAAGACTACAAGCCTCCCGCCCGCGCCTCTGCCACCCGCCCGTCGGTCCTCGCCATCCACCAATCCGCCGGCATCGACAAGAAGCCCTCGAAGCGCGGCCGCAAGAGCCAACTCTCCTCCAAAGCCCGTCGCCGCCAGGAGCGGGGCCTGCAGATGGCCGAGGCCATCCTCGAGCGCACAAGCGCCAAGGTTGAGAAGAGCAAGGTCAGGGGCCGCTCCGTCCAGGAGAGGAGCAAGACTTGGGATTCGATCAACAAGAAGGCCCTGGATGCCAAGGAGGTCCAAGCCGAGGACGATGATGACGACGAGCCCGAGCAGGATGCTTCCAAGACTGACAAGGATAAGGGCTGGGAGACCGATGAGGATATGGATGGTAAACAGGGCGATGCTGCTGCTGAATCCAAGCCTGAGACTGCGGACGAGGGGTATCTCGCAGTTGATGCCGACGACGACGTGATCCTATAGAGCATTCGATTGGTGGCATTCGGTTTGGCATTGTGGTTTTCATTCATGGCGTTACTGGTGCATCGTGGCGTTCAAAAGCGCTGGGCAAGGCGATATAGAAATTTTCACAATTGATTTCTGGAAAAGCCTCTCTTTCTTTCGCCTTTATTTTTATATATAGTCGAGACGTCTCTATCAAGTATGTGGTCGAAGGCCGTATGATATCCTAGTTGAGTGATCAAATAAGCTCCACAATGCCGAGTTATCGACATATATCTTGGAACAAATCTCATTGTTGGTACACGGTATCTCTCTCAAGGGGATACTCTCAGTGTTGGCAGCTTGCGGGCTTGATGCTTCCAGTCGACGGTGCTGGTTGACCCCTCACTTCTTCTCTACCGTCATCCTCACCAACTCGCCAACTTCCCCAGACTCTGCCTTGACATGTCGAGCCCCTAACACCTCGAGATTCTCACGGACCTGCGTCAATACCGACAGCGAATCTTCGCGAGAGATCTTCTTGCCCCTCTTCTTCTTCCCTAGCACAATCTCGACTCTCATCCCTTTTTGCAGAAAGCCGCCAATCTGCTTCATCTTGGTCTTGAGATCGTGGTCGCTGATACCCCAGCTCAGCTCCACGTCCTTGCGCTTGATCTTCTCCTCGGCCTTCTTCTTCTCCTGCACCTTGAGCTTCTTCTCCCGCAAGTGCTCCTCCTTCCTATTCACGATCTGGCAAACCGGGTACTGGGCCAGCTTGCCGGCGGCCTTGTCCGCCGGGAAGTACGGCTGTATCATCCGCAGCGACTCCTCCGCCGTGTTGAGCTTCGACATGACGAACTGGGGCGCCAGGGGCCCCTCGATCTGCCCGTTCTCCAGGACCATGATCCGCGGGTCCTTGATCTCGTGGTCGCGGGGGAGCCGGTCCCGACCCGACTTCTCAAAGGACTGTGCGGTTGTGTAGCGTCGGTCGTACCCCAGTTCCTCGTCGGGGTTCTCGTCGTCTTGGTTGTCCCGGGGCCTGCCTCGACGAGGTCCCTGGTCTCGTCGCCGGGGAGGCGGTCCCCTTCCAGGCGCCCCTACTCCGAAGACCAAGGGCCCAGGTCTCGATGGAGGTCCCGCATAGTAGCGGATCTGAGGTTGTGGGATGGCTGGCAAATGGGGCTGCCATACCTGTGCTCGAAGTTGAGAAAGGCATGGGCGGACTGGCTCAGCGTGCCGGGTGGGGGAAAAGAGGATTGATCTGGTGATGCATCGTCTGCCGCTCATCGTACCAGACCGTCGAGGTGAAGCTCCTAAAAGGTGGAAGTGGTTAAGAAAGAGCTAGCAACGCGTATTGAAAGGTTTCGGAGGGGTACGGATGCCGTGTGGGAGCTCAATTCGTTGAAAAGACCGGCCGGCAGTTGTCGCTTGGATGAGAGAAGCTGGGATTTTTCGGCTGGGAACGTCACTGTGGACCTCTCAGGCCGAAGCTCATCCCAGCTCAAGCATCGAATGCTGCGGTGTCACGTGCGCCATATTCCCAACCTTGAGTATACCAATATCCCAATGTTTGCTCATATCTACAATTCAATGCCGTCGCATCAATTTCCAGGACAAACAATTGCCCCCATCATTCTACCGAGGTGGTGGTAAGTGATCGATGTTGGTGCTGTAAGTTGAGTTGCGCCCCATCTCTGGCTACCCTCTGATTAGGTAAGCACAGATCTGTCAAGCCAGGGAACTCGGCATCTTCTTATCGATATTCACAACTGCAATGATAGTAGATGTTTTTAACACGGAGGTAGAATGCTTTCTGTTGTGCATTCATTCCAACAGCGAGGTCATGGGTTGTAGAGAGGTGCTTATAGCAGGATCGTTCGTCGCAGTATGGTCTCCTTGGATATTAGCACTCACATTTCTACCCATCTGGGCATGTGTGTATGTACAGCCCACCTCCGTCTCCGAGATAAGATTATAGATGCTTTTCGATTTGTAAGACATTTCTGCTGCACCACCATCTCAACCCCATTCCGCGATCGGAAAGCGTCGGGAGTCGCCGCCAAGAAAGTCCCTGACGCACGCCATCAGCGACCCTGGTCTATTTTCGCGAGGCTAGAGCCAATGCGCTGTCAGTTGCCGCCCATTGCGCCGTGCTTGGTCCCTTTCTCCAGCTTCCAAAAGAGATGCTCTCAAGCAAGTAATGACTCAATGACTCAATGCTCCGTCTGCTCTTCTTTGGCGGCGGCTCAATAGTCGGGTAGGTGGGGGCCAAGCCAAATCGCATGGACGATCCGATGGGCGCAAGATGGGCAAAAAAAAGGAAGGAAGGGCCAAAAAAAAAAAAAAGAACCCTTGAGCAAATTGTCTTTACCCCTCCACGTAACATCAACCCGGAATTCCCACCACCTCCTCCCTCCTCCTCATCCTCCACTTCACCAACCAAGACCACAGGAAAAGGAAAGAAACATGGTCGCTCCCGGCGAACAAATGGCGCAACTTATTGGGCCCGAGTCCTCAATCACCGAGCCAGTTCCCCACTCCGCTCCGGTGCCAGTCTAGATGCCAATCCCATTCCGCGTGTCTTGCCTGTGACAATGATGCTATGATATCTAAATGGAGTGCACTACCCCCCGTCCCGTCCCTTCCCCCCTCCCCTAACCCTACCTCTGCCCCTTCATCCACGGGAGAGCTCCTTTATGTCACCCGTCACCATTCCTGAACGACCCAGCCCGACCTCAAGGTTCTTCACATGGCCTCGATAGACCCCGTGGTAGCCGCGGAGGTGGCCAGGCGCTCCGACGATGGCATCGCTTTCCGCGCGCGGCCCGGCCACACTCACCACACCTGGGCGCGCACCTTCTCCTCCCTCCCCGAGCTGTATATCCAGCCCGAGTCCGTCGCCGAGGTCGAGAAGGCCATCGACATCGCCAGGGTATGCCGGCGGCGCATCACCACCACCGGGTGCGGGCACTCCCCCTCCAACATCACCTGCACGTCGAGCTGGCTGATCAACATCGACCGGGTCGACCAGGTCCACTCCATCGATCCCGAGACGGGCATAGCTGTCGTCGGCGCCGGCATGCGTCTCTACGCCCTGTGCGAGGAACTCGATCGTCACGGCCTTGCCATGCCGAACCTGGGCAGCATCACCGAGCAGTCGGTTGCGGGGGCCATCTCGACGGGTACACATGGCAGCAGCTCTCGCCACGGTCTGATCTCGGAAAACATCGTTGCGTTGAAGATCACGCTCGCGAGCGGCAAGACGGTCTCCTGTTCTGCGGACGAGAACCCCGACCTCTTCCGGGCCGCCCTCATCTCCCTCGGCGCATTGGGTATCATAACCGAAATCTCTATCCGCGCCGTTCCCGCCTTCAACCTCAAGTGGGAGCAGACCATCGACTCCGACCAGAAGCTCTTTGACGCGTGGAACCGCGGGTTCTGGGAGCAGAGCGAGTTCGTCCGGGTATACTGGCTCCCATACACCAGGCGGGCGGTTGTCTGGCGCGCCGACAAGACCGACGAGGAGCTCACGCCCCATCACGCCAACTACTTCGACGGTCCTTTGGGCTTCCACATCTACCACAACCTGCTCGCCCTCTCCAACTGGATCCCGGCCATCCTGCCCTGGGTCGAGTGGTTTGTG